TAAGGAATGAATGAAGATAATGAGGCCTCATGACTTTTCTTTTTCAGACTAAGAGAGGGCAGCATGGGGGAGGTATCTGTGGACATAGCTCTAGGCCTGACCAGCCTGGAGGCTGGGACCCAGGTTGTCCTTGGCCGCAGCGTGGCCAGCTTGCACCCCCACTGTGTCAAAAGGAGGAGCAAGGCTGGGGTTCACTGCAGAGGCTAAGCAGATGCCCCTCCCATTGGCCGTGATGCACCGATAAGGACAGGCCTTGTCCCTGCTCTGCTCCTCCTCCTCCCGAGCAGGGTGTTTTCTGACACCTCCTCTGAGTAGTAGGAGTGTTTGCTGCCGAGTTCACTGGAAATGTGTGTCTCACTTCTCACCTGAGCCCTGGTCCCTTTTTCAGTAAAACCTCCTGAGCCTGTGCTGTGGGGCCACCCACCCTGCGCCCCAGCCAGCACTGCCTCCCACTCGTCACGGGCTCGTCTCAGCCCCCTTCTCTCTGGGTCCTGTTGAGGGTTCACGTTGTACATGGGAGAAGCCAGACAACGTGGCTAGAGAGAGCTTCCAGCAGCTTCCCCAGAGCCATTCAGGTCCTGTTGGTGTGTGGGGTGATGCTCCCAAAGATACCTTTCTCCTGTTTCTTCTTCTTCTCCTTCGGCTCATTACAGGCAGGACCACCGCCTGCAGTCGTCACCAGCAGCATGGTTCTGTGGCTGTGCAAGGCATCCCTCGCCCCCAAAGGGCCCTGTGCACCCCGTTGGGGACCAGAGGTTCCCCCAGCCTGAGAGATGGTCTCAAAAGTGTGAAGGACTGGAGCTGTGGTGTGGTGTGCCAGAAGATGTGGCTAGCTGTGGACCCCTGGTGGCGGAACCCGGCATGGCTTTGCATGCACTGTGTACCAGCCCTCAATGACTATGTCCTTGGGAAAGTCCTAAGGGACCCTCCTCTACACCAGCCTCCCAGCCTCTGTCCAGGAGAGAAGGGTTCCCTTGGGATTACATGGGGAGACTCTTTGCTGTCATTTAAAATTTTTAATTATTGGTCAGGGCCTGGAGAGACGGTTCAGCAGTTAAGAACACTGGTTGTTCTTGCAGAAGACCCGGGTTTGAATCCCAGCACCCACATAGCGGCTAACAACTTTTCATAACTCCAGTTCCAGGGGATCCGACAGCCTCTTCTGTCCTTCGCAGGCATTGCATAACACAGGTGCACTTACCTACATGCAAGCAATACACATATACACATAAAATAAAAATAATAAATAATAAAATAAAAATTTTAATTATTAGCTGGGCACGATGGTGCACACTTTTAATCCCAGCACTTGGGAGGCAGAGGCAGGTGGATCTATGTGAGTTTGAGGCCAGTCTGGTCTATATATCGAGTTCCAGGCCAGTTGGGGATACAGGGAGACCCTGTCTCAAAAAGACCAAAATTTTTTTTTAATTATTGTGGATTTTTTTTTTGGTGTGTGTGTGTGTGTGTGTGTGTGTGTGTGTGTGTGCTGATGTTCCACTTCACACATGTGGAGTCAGAGGGCAACTTTAGGGGAGTTGGTTTTCTTTCCACCTTTATTTTGGAGGGCTAGTTTGCCCATGAGCTTCTGGGACATTCTGCTGTCTCTGCCTCTCTTTGTACTGTAGAAACATTGTGTATCACTGCATCTGGCTTTCTGTGTGGGTCTCGAACTCAGGTCATTAGGCTTCCACTGCAAGTGCTTTTACCCTCTGAGCCATCTCCCTTGCCCCCTGCCTTCATTTGGACAGACAGGCCAATGCCTTAGCCAGGTGGATCGGACCCAGGTTAGACATGAAGCGCTAAGGGGCTGGATAGACGGCTCAGCAGTTAAGAGTGCTTAATACTCTTGCAGAGGACCTGAGTTTAGTTCTCAGCACCCACATCAGGCAGTTCACAAATATCTGTAACTCCAGCTCCAGGGCATCTGACGTCATCTTCTGGTCTCTGCGGACACCTGTACACACATGTGCACAGACCCCCCCATAAAAATATAATTTTAAAAAATGTTTAAAAAGATGAAGCTATAAAGATGACGCTCCAAATGAGCAGGTCTGATCGCTCAGGTCTGTTTTAGGAGAATCATCTTTCTTGGAGCCTAGGGAGATGGCCCGGTAGGTAAGGCGCTTGCTTTGCAGGCATAAATACCAAAACACCATCCACAGAACTACATAAAAAGCAGGGCAAAGTGGTGTGCACTTGCAAATCCAGTACCTACCCTTTCCAGCTTCTCCCCTCCCAGAAGCCAGCAACCCTGGGCAGGGGGAATGGAGGGGAGCAGGTACCCCTGACCCTCCCGAGTTGTCTGTCTGGTGCTAAAGCAGATGTCCATGCAATGCAGTCCCGAGTCTAGGTGGCTGGTACTGTGCCAGCCTCAGGTGGGCCTCAGTAAATGTAGCAGGGGCTGCCACGTCTTTGGCACCCCTGGGAGCCAGTCTTGCCCCGATCTATACATCCAACGCCCCTCTTTAGGGTGTCTCTCTCATTTGGAGCAGCCAACTCCCTGCACCTTGGGCTTGCCTTCTTCCTCCATCTCTCCCTGGGTAGCTGTAGGCCAGAAAGGGAAAGACAAGGACTCATGAGCAACCAGCCAGGTTCCTGCCATGTCCTCTGGTGTTGCCTGGATGACACAGGGACATGAGCTCTGGTATCACCAACTCTGACCTGTCCCAGAAATGTGTCTGCCTGTCATTCAGAGTTTGAGTGGTCCCTGACAACCACCCACCCCACCTGCTGCAGAGGTGCCCCATCTTTCTGTGCCTCTCTCTGCTCTGAGCAGCAGCTCTCAGAGAGGCTGACAGGCATCCTGTTAGCAGGGCCTACTGAGGTTACATCTCCTCTACTGCAGCTGCTGGACCAGTGAGGGAGCAGCAAGTGATGTGCCTTGAGGTGTGGCCTTCCAGGGCTTTCTCTGCCTTGACTGTCCATCCCAGGCTCCCTAGTTCAGAGGCCACATGCCAACGGATGTATCCTGGCTTACAGAGGTCATGTGTACACTTCCTAGTGAGTAGGGTCCCTTGAAAGTAAGTAGCAAATTCCCTGTCAGCAGGGGGCATCCAAACAGGCAGTGTACTGGGGAGAAAAGGTGCGTTTAGGCAGGTGACTTTTTTTTGGGAGGGGGGTTTCTCCCTGTAGCCTCAGCTGGCCTGGAATTCACTATGAGGACCAGGCTGGCCTTGAACTCACAGAGATCTGCCTGCCTCTGTTTCCTGAGTGCTGGGATTATAGGTATGCCCCACCATGCCTGGTCAGTCAGCACTTTTAACTGATAAACCATCTCTATAGCCCAGGTAGGTGACTTTTAAAAATGTTTTGTTATTTTGTCTTATTTTTTATTTTTTCAGAGCTGAGGACCGAACCCAGGGCCTTGTGCTTGCTAAGCAAGTGCTCTACCACTGAGCTAAATCCCCAACCCCTTAAAAATGTTTTTACAGGCCAGGCGTGGTGGCGCACGCCTTTAATCCCAGCACTTGGGAGGCAGAGGCAGGCGGATCTTTGTGAGTTCAAGGCCAGCCTGGTCTACATAGTGAGTTCAGGTCAGCTGGGACTACAGACAGCCTCTGTCTCAAAAAGACAAAAAAAAAAGTTTTTACAAGCATCTCTTTATTTTTTATGTGTGTGTGTGTTTTGCCTATTTGTATATACAAGCAACCATGTGTGTGCAGTGCCGGAAGAGGCCAGAAGAGGGCATCAGAGCCCCTGGAACTGGAGTTACAGATAGGTGTATGCCACCATGTGGGTGCTAGGAACTCACAGGGCTTCTGTAAGAGCAGCCCAGTGCTCTTAACCACAGAGCCATCGCTCCAACCCCGGGCAGATGACTTCTCGAACAAGCGGAGTGTGGGCTATGGAGTCAGAGTGAATTTTGGGGTCAAACTCTGGTTCTGTTCCTTCCTAGCATGTGCCTGGGGCAAGCCGCTTGTCCTCGCTGTGCTTCAGAGTCCCATCTGCCTCCCAGGGTGGCAAGGGAGACTGAAGAGTGTGTGGGTGCCACAGACACAGTCATCAGGAGATACCTGAGGGGTTCCCATCTGTTCCAGATGAGCCCCAACATCCTGACACAAGCTCGTTCTACTCATCAACAGTGTTGGGGTGGGGGAGCTTCCTGCACTTATACCCCACCCCTCCGGCCTGGAGAATTCACTTTGTTTCAGCCCAGGTCCTCTCCTTCACTCTCCTGCCTCCTCAGACCACAGACCAGCATCCCCAAGAACCAGAAAAGAAGGCAAACCCGAGCAGGCTTATCTGTCACCATCTTTATTTCCGGTTTCCAGTTTGACAGTCAATGAAACAACTTGTTCAATGATCTCTCCTCCCCCACCCACACACACCACCTTGGGCGTGACAGGCCACTCTGTCATATATTATTAATTCTTTGATAATCTATTTAATACTTGGATTATTTAATAATCTATTAAATATAAAGACAAAAAAATAAGTTACTCCATGGCTGAGGGCTGGCTACTGCAGACTGGCAGACAGGAGTGATGTTCTAGCCTTTCTCCTGTCCCCTGCCTTGGGTGAGGCCCAGAAGCCCCAGGTCCCCAGTGAGGTAGCAGAATTGTGTATACAGTACTTGTTGCCAGGGACGCCAGAGGCCCACTCTTTCGATGCTAAGCTCCCAATCTCGGGGCTCAGGCAGCAACTGTCTACCCACCCCAATACTGACAAACACTCATTTAAATAACACAAACCATAATAAATAAGATCAAGAAGAAATATGCCCAAACTACTCTCTGCCTCAGTCGCCCTGTGTGGAGCAAGCCACATTACCCACTGTAATGCTAGTTTGCTGTGGGGAGGGGGTAGCCGAGGAGGCTGCCAGGCTGAGCCCACCCCCCACCCCCTGGCACCAGGCGGGCAGTGCGGGCTGAGGACAAAGCTAAGGCAACTTCACCCCTTCCCAACCCTCCTCCCACCTCCCCCAAGAAATGTCTGATGTGAGAAAGAGCAATGGATCTGTGACTGTAAAGTCCAGGCCCTTCTGCTCAGCTGCCACTTCAGTAGACCTTGTTGGTGCGAAAAAGCTTCCTTGAATAAGTGAGCAGGGTCTTTATGAACTGGGCCACTTCGACTTTGGTATCTGGGAGGCTGGAAACCTGTGGAATGACAAAAAGACCAGTGCATTAGAGGACACCAGAGGCAAGGACAGCCGGCCCCCACCAGGGGCTTTCCAGGGACTGTCCCGAACAACCCTCCCAAAAGTCCCCGCCAGGTGGGTGCTGTTATTGCCCCTCTTTTCCAGATGTGAAAACTGAGGTTCAGGTAGGAGTTGGGAACCCTTGAGCCCAGGACCTATAACTCCCACCCTATTCCTAGGTGCACACACAGGCAGAATGCTCAGTCTCATTCCCCAGGGGTGCCCACTGCTAGCGGGAGTGGTACAGGGATATGGAAGAGGACGGGCCTTACCCCAGCTGAGGCCTTGCGGGTGCAGAGTCCATTCAGTATCCGCTGGGTCTTGTGGATGGCATTGCAGTTGGAGATGTTGATCAGGGACTCCAGGGCTGCACAGTACTGTGGGAGGAGAGGGCAGAGGTCAGGTCTGGCTCAGGTTACAGGAGGACTGGCCAGGTGGGTATGGGAAGAGTCCAGATTATGAGGGGTGAGTGGGTAAGCTTCTAAAGCTTGTTTGGTTTCTTTGAGGCAGGCTCTCACTCCATAGCCCAGGCCAGCCCAGAACTTAGTATATAGCCAACTGCTTTCAAATTCGCTGTAACCCTCCCACTTCCACCTCCCAAATGCTAGGATTCCAGGCAAGAGTCACCTACCATGCCAGGCCCTGGAGCTTGTTTGGAAAGCCCCAGCTGCGTGAATGGGGTTTAGAGAAGACAAGCCCAAGGCCTGCAGCCACTGCTAGCCCACCCCTAAGCCCACAGTCCTTACCCCGCCATCTGTCAGGTCCACGCTCCACACCATGCTGCTGTTACACAGGGGAGTCTGAGGGAGCAGAGAGATTGTGAAGAGAGTGGAAGCAGGGGTCAAGGCCTGCCCCAGCCAGCCCAGCCCGGGGCCCTGAAATGCCAGGGCCACAAGCACCACTGTTATGTAGAGTCAGCCCTGGCAACCCTTCTAGTTCTACTCTGCACGAGGCGCTGAAGCAGGAGTTACAGCATTCTGAAGCCGAGAGAGAAAAGCTGTGTGACAACTGGTAGGAAACAAGCCTTATTTGAAGTTTGCTATAGCTAGTGAAGGAGAATGGGGGCCTGTAGAGAAGGCTAGATGGGGGTTAGGTGAGGGAGAGGTGGACCAGGCCCCACATCATATACAACTAGGTAGAAGCCTGATGTATTCTCAGCTCTCTGAAGGGGGCACTGTTAGGAGTACAAACACAGAGCCAGCAAGGCCTGACTTGAGTCTAGCCTCTGACGTTATCCTTGAACCTTGCAAAACAGGACCATGGTGCCTGCCTCTGAAAGTGTCTGTAGGGATGACAAGAACATGAAGCATCTAGCACCAGGCTTGGCAACCATCAACGCCCAGACAGTGCAAGCTGACACTCCAGAGAGGAGAGGAGCTGTTGCTACAGACCCCTCCCCACCAAGGGCCAGAAATGATGGTTGGATCGTGCTAAGGAAAACGCAGATGCCCAGTGGCTCTAAGAATCTGCTGACCCTTGTCTGCTTTCCTTGGTGGGAGAATGCTGAGCTGGAGGACGTGGCCAGGCCAGGGGAGCAGGTGCTCCCTGGCAACTTGGCCAGCCCCTTCAAGGTCCATCTGTTAGCCGTGCCCATGCCATTCTGAAAATTTCCTCCATTTTGGTTAAATGGTAGCAGTCTCTCAGTGACCAGCATTCTAGAACCAAAGCAACTTGCTCTCCTAGTTTCCTGCCCTCCACTACAGGCCCCCGATAATGGCTGACCAAAGAGATGTTTATCCAACACCCCGCATTTTTTTAGCTCACTGCTCTTTGGTTACTCCCAGCAAGTGTTTGACCCTCATCCCTACCCCTTCCTCCTGTAACTATCCCTAATCTGTAAATGGACAGCTCTCTGCTTTCCTGATTCAGAGACTGCTCTGGGCAGGTTTTCTTGGATTAAACCTGCTTGTTGTAGGACTTGCTCATTTTCTTGTCTTTCTCGTGCCTTTCACCATCCGTGTTGCTGCACTCCCAACCTGGCTTCCTTTCTTTCCTCATGGATGAGCCCAGTCCCTGGGGGCTTCTTCTTGACCTCCATACACCCAGCCTGCTCACAGCTGCTTCCTGAGTGGGTGCTACTTACCTTCTGGTCTAGCGTGATGTTGGTCAGCTCCTCGATGAGCTCCTTGAGGGCCACAGGGGAAGGCACTGGGTATGGCACTGGGCGCGGCACTGGGCCTGGGGCAGCAAAACCACCGAGGCAGGTGAGAGCCAGGACCACAGTCACCCAGAGTGCCATGAAGCTCACAGCCAACAGGAGAATCAAGGAGCAGATTATCATGGGCTGGCCTACACTGAGTGGCTTGTGGCCTTAGCCCTCTTGCAGCAGCTTTTATAGGCCCGAGTGGTGACGCTTTCCCCCTGGTCCCCGCTTTGTTGGGCACTATCTGAAAACCACATCTTTACTCATCTTAATTTTCTTGCTTTTTTGGAAAATCCAGTGCTGTCTAAAGGAAAGAGCTTGATTTTGTGGATTTATTGAGAGGGGTATAGGACAGAGTTTCCAAGTTCTGAGTGGTTTCCTCCAGGTGGGCTAGAGGGCTCTGAGGACTTCCCGGGCATCAGCAAACCAGCTCCTTCTCCAAAAGTTCTACCTGGTGACCACTCTGTCCATCTGGGCAGCCAGCCCAGTACCGACCCTTTGAGTCACCGGAAGTTCTGAGCAGCCTCTGGGCACTGTTACTGTGATCAGTTTACCAGCCATGAGAATTTGGGAGTTTTGTTTTCTTTCTTCCTTTTTAAAAATTTCAGTGAACAGGTCTCTTAGATCACCAGCCTGCTTGCTTTGGATACCCAGTTTACACAGGACAGGAGAGTGAAGGGCTCTCACTTCTGTATGCCTGGGTCCTCCTTGGCCACTCAGGCTGGAAGGATTATAGAAGTTCAGGCTTCCCAGGAGTTCACTGAAACGTCTAGTCAGTACAGGTGTTTCCAGGCCTTTCCTGTGTAAAATTGCTATGGGCAGCTTGGACTCTGGGGCCCACCCGGCTTTCAGTTCCCACCACTGCCCTGGGACACTGCCACTTGTTAAGACTGAGCCAGGTCAGAACAGGTAACTGTTTCCAATGTAATTGAGACTTGGGGCCACCACATTTACTCCTGGATTGTCTCTGCAGAAGCTGTCCCTGCCCTCTAGAGCCTCAAATTTCCTGTTCAGAATGAGTGTTTGGAGGGCAGCACCTGAGCTTGTCCCCTGCAGGCCTTTTTCCTGCTCTCTCCTCATTTGCAGAAACCCCCACTGCAGAGGCCACAGCATTTGCCTATTGGGTGCTGATGTCTAGATGCACAAGCACCCACTTCCTCCCCTCGGCCAGCCGGCCCCTCCAGGCGCCCTCTCTGCTTGCTCAGGCTCCGCCTTCTCACAAGGGTCCTTCAGAGACAGGGACACTCTCACTCCTGGAGGAGGAGGGGCTCCAGGACTTCCCAGCCCTTCCCACTTGGAACAGCATTGGAGTCCACAGTGGAAGCTTCCCAGTCCAGATACAGGCCCTGACAGTGGAAACCTGACCCGCCCCTTGGGCCCCCTCCCCACGTGCCTGGAGTGCTTTGCTTGGCCAAGCGACCCTTGTGGGCCTCAGTTTCCCAACCTGGAGAACAGGGCCAGCGGCACATCCCACGGGGGTCTCCGTGGCCGGGGAAGGAGCGGGGGAAACATCTTGTGCAAGTCCCGAGCCCTGTGCATGAATGAGTCAACGTCCCCCTGCCCATCCTGACCAGCAGAAGGCGTGCAGCAGCAGCGGGTAGTCTCACCCCTGCGTGGGAGAAGGCGCACTGCCGATGGCCCGCAGAGATAGGGGCGCGGCCTTATGTAACGGAGATGGGGTCGATAAGGGGACCCGCGCCGCCCTCCCCCGCGCCTCCGGGAAGCAGAGGCAGGGCCAGAGCAGCCCAGCGACGGGCCCAGGGGTTCCGCGGGGAGCCAGGACGGCTGGGCAAGTCGGTCCCGGTCCCGTTGGCCACCTGCACCTGCGCCCCCCGGCCCCCAGGAGATGAGCCGCCGCCCCCAGGCCCCGCCTGCAGCCACTGGGGCGTGTTTGTTGTACATCCCTGTTTTCTTTCTTTTCCATAAAAAATTTTTTTTTTTTAATTTCTCGTTTTAGGGGCTGGAGAGATGGCTCAGCGGTCAAGAACACTGGCTGTTCTTGCAGAAGACTCGGGTTCGAATCCCAGCACCCACATGGCAGTTAACAACTGTCTGTAACTCCAGTTCCAGGGACTCGGGCAGCCTCTTCTGTCCTCCACGGGCATTGCATGACACGGGTGCACTTACCTACATGCAGACAATACATGCATACACATAAAAAATAATAAAAATAATGGATAAAATTTAAAAAAAAAATACCTCTGTTTGTTCTTTCAGAAGACCCGGGTTCGAATCCCAGCACCCACATGGCAGTTAACAACTGTCTGTAACTCCAGTTCCAGGGACTCGGGCAGCCTCTTCTGTCCTCCACGGGCATTGCATGACTCGGGTGCACTTACCTACATTTAGGCAATACACACATATACATAAAATAAAAATAAATAAAATATATTTTTTTAATTTCTTGTTTTAGGGACAAGGTCTGGCTCCATCGCCTTATCCGGTTGGAATTCTGGCAGGCGTTGCTATGAATGCGGCCTGGCACAAAAATCTTATATAAACTTAAAGCATGAGGATTTTTGTGTGTTACTTAATTGTAGTTCTACAGAGGGAACTTTGTAGCTGGTCTTGAAGTGGAGGCAATCCTCCTGCCTCTACCTCCCAAGTGCTGGGATGGTGTTGCAGGTTTCCTGGCACCCAAACCCGTTACCTACAACACTCCAGGGGAACTAACTTACAGAAAGGACCAGAGGGGGTCTGCTAGGCTCACTGACACAGAGCACTGGGAACCCCCGCCCCCCAATCCTTCACAGCCACTCCATCACCAGAGCTCAGGAAAGTGGCCATGCAGCCTGGCTCTCATCCCTTTCCAACCCAGTGGGCTCCTCTCCTTGGAGTTTCAGGAAAGCTGTCTTTCAGGATTTTTCCAGACTTTGGGTCTAGGTTGCAAAGAAAAGGTATCAAATAGGGGCTAGGGCTCTATGAGTTGTTTTAACAAGTATAGCTAGCTATTTGATTTTCCTTTTTAGGAAAGCTATGGTAGTAAGAAATTTCAGAGAGGAAATCAGAGTTCTGTATGAAAACTAGCAAACCAGTGGTGGCCACCTCACTCTCAACAGGGCCTCCTCCACTGCTCCTGTGCACCCCCAGGGTGCATCCCCAGTGAGGACAGATTTTTAAGGGTGTTTGCATGGCACAGGCTGGGGAAGAATTCCATCTTCCTCCCCGTCAAAAGCAGGCAACTTACTTCTCAATTTAAAAAGAGTTGAATCTGGAGAGATGGCTCAGTGGTTAAGAGCACTGGCTGCTCTTGCAGAGGATCCAGGTTTGGTTCCCAGCACCCACACGGCAGTTCACAACCATGTGTAACTCCAGTTCCAGTGGATCCAATGCCCTCTTCTGACCTCCTCAGGTATTGCGTGCACCTGATGCATTTATATACACACAAGAAAAACACACAAAGTAAAAATAAATACATTTTGTATATAAATATATATCATATACAAATATATAATAATAAATATATAATATATAACTATATATGTTTAAGTTCAGGTTCCCTAAGTACATCTCCCCTCTTGCAACCTAGCCTACTATGTGTACCAGGATGGCCTGGCTCTCTGCATCTGCTCTGGGAGAACTGGGATTCAGGACACTGACACAGTGTTAAGACTCTATGACCCCGCCGGGTGTGGTGGCACACCCCTTTAATCCCAGCTCTTGGGAGGCAGAGGCAGGTGGATCTCTGAGTTTGAGGCCAGCCTGGTCTACAGAGTGAGTTCCAGGCCAGCTGAGGCTACCTGCCCCCCTCCCCCAAATACCAAAAAAAAAATAAATAAATAAAAGACTCTATGGCCCCTGGCAATGGTAAGTGTCTCTGAGCCAGGAATCCCCTCTTCTGCCAGCACCTATAAACAGGCAGCTGGCACTTAGCTTGTGTTATGTACTTCCTGGAGGTCTGGTCCTCCATTTTTCTTTTCCCTCCTACTTTCCATTGAAACGTTTCTCTCTACTGGTACCTTTCTAAAGTGTCATCATTTATACCAAAGGTATTTTATTCTTCTCAGAATGTGTGTGTGTTTGTGTATGAGTGTGTGAATATGTATATTAATTATTTTTCTGTTGCTGTGATAAACCATATCCAAGGCAATTTATAGAAGGAAGAGTTTATTGGGCTTACAGTTCCAGAGGGGGTAAGAGCCCATTAAGGAGGGGAGGCATGGCAGGAGGCAGCCAGAGCAGAGAGCTGAGTGCTCACATCTTGAAGCCAGGCACAGGAAGCAAGAGGGAGCCTGCAAGTGGGATGTAGCCTTAAACTCTCAAAGCCCGCCCCTAGCATGCTTCCTCTTGTATGGCCACACCTTCTAAAGGTTCCAGCACCCTCCCAAGACATTGCCACAAACTGGGGACCAAATGTTCAAATACTTGGAGCCTATGGGGGACACTCTCATTCAAACTACAATATGTGAATGTGAGTGTGTGCAAGTGTGTGTATGTGTGTGTGTGAAGGGTTGTGTGATTGTGAGTGTATGTGAATGAGTGTGAATGGTAGTATGTGTGTGTGTGTGTGTGTGTGAGAGAGAGAGAGAGAGAGAGAGAGAGAGAGAGAGAGAGAGAGAGAGGAGAGTTAGATAACTGCACAGTACCCTTTTCCATACATAGTCTTATCTCCTCCAGGGTTGTTGTTGGTCTTTTTGAGACAGGGTCTCCCTGTAGCACTAGCTGTCCTGGAACTTGCTATGAAGACCAGGCTGGCCTTGAACTCACAGAGATCCACCTCTGCCCCCTGAATGCTGGGTTTAAAGGCATGTATCACCAAGTGTTGTTTATTTAATCTATTTATTGGTGCTAATAATTAAACCAAAAGCCTAGCATGTGCTACTTAAGTGCTCTACCACTGAACTGCACCCCAGTCCTTTAATTTTGCATTTCTCTGTTATGTTGCAGGCTTCCCTGGGGTTATAGGTAATTCTGTGTATTAGTTATTTTTCTGTTGCTGTGATAAAACACTATGATTAAGGCAAATTATAGAAGGAAGAATTCCAGAGGAAGTCCATAACAATAAGTCGCCTTATCAAAGAGAGCCTCTATGTCAGCACATACCTTAGCTCCAACATGAATCTTCCTAGAGTTCTCTTTCTCCCCAAACTGTACAT